AACATGAGTTTTCTCTAACTACATGTACCACTCCAATGGGGCTTCAGTCAGGCTGTCTTGAAAGAAAAGCATGAGCAGCGACTCATTGCTAGCATATGCGGCCGTCTTTATCCAGTATGATCGGAGATGAGTCTCTGGACATGTAACCCCTTTATACTTGCTGAATTCTGGTACCTTGAATTTTGATGGAGTCACGACCCCTAGAACCAGACACATAGCAGGAGCATTAAATCCCTGTCTTTTGGAAGTCTCCATATCCTTCAAACATTCTTCCAAAGCCTTGTACATTTTGGTAGTTTCAGATAAATCAGCTGTAGAATCCTTTGGAGGGCCATCGAGATCGATGACATCATGGTGATCATCCATAATCATCCAATGGTTTTCCTTAGGGAATCCTCCATTGTCATTCTTGGGTCCACCATTCTCAAATTTAGAAGTACTATCAACCAGCTTAGTAACACTCAGTCTGAGCTTTCCCCTGGATGAAGGCATGAAGAGTTTCCATGAGCCGGTTCATTTGATCACCCATGGTGTCCATGTTTTTGCAGAGTGCGGCCTAGTTCTGCTCAATTTTCTCCATAATCCTCATCTTGTTGGCTCGAGGGTGATAAGGATGTAAGGAACTCGTCTTGTAGATTCTGGTAATAAGAAGCAAACCAACAGATAAGAATTCTAGCTAGAAAACCTGCAATTCATGAAATGCATGATATGTATGATGCATGAAATAATTGTCCATTCCGATTTTTCACAGCTCAATCAACGTTAGTAATAATCGAGCAACGTGACAATAAGAACGACCATATAAAGAAAATATCCAACATTGCTCATATAATAATAAAAAACGGAAGAAATCCCAAACAGAGTTCAAAACAAGAAAATTGCGAAAGTACAAGATAAACAATTCTGCCCAACAAGTCTGGTGGTAATTGGGACAATAATACAATAATCAATCTCCTATCTCTAAATAATGTAACAGACAATGCCTCAAGTGTTCAACACTCTAGGCAATAGTGCCTTTCACAAGCTGCTTTGTCTCCTCCACGTTGGGCTTCAAAACCATAATTTGAATCACCTCATCCTTCTTGATCATCATGATCTCCAGAATACGGAATCGAGTCAACAAATTAGCATGCTCTTAGTTTGGGACATGATTTTTTCACCGCCATTATTTCCTTCAACCTGCCTTTTTTTGAGATTTTCAATCTTCTTGTTGAATCGTGCCATAGACTGCAGTAGCTAACAATGCATTGAGCGTGTACTAAGCATCGTCTCTAGTCGTTTCTTCTGCTTTACCGACCAAGAGGTCAAATAGTAGAATAATATTCTTTCTCCATCTCTACTTTACATCACTAAGGCCCAAATAAAGTTCCTTAGCAATAGCTTCAAGATTGGGCTCGTTCGGAACAACAACGAATGACATGTGCTCGGTGATCTTGAGCAAATAAGAGTGCTCTTCCAAAGTTGGAGCGATATGATAGTCTTGGAAGATGGAACAACGTAACTCATGGTCATAAAACTGAAGTGGAGTCTAGAGAGCTCCATTATCAACCCGAACACCTAATATAGTCAAAATGCCACTATGCCTCTCACTGAAAGCCTCTGCATCAGGATGGACTAAATGGTCTTTCAAACTCTTCAAAGGAAGCCAAGAACTTGAGCGAAACTGATAAGTAAAATTGTCTCTCCTGGTCCTCTTGGGAACATCACTGTTGCTAGACGTTACTGACGGAGATAACTTTGTGATATACCCCGGTATGGACATGCACATGCAAGGTTAGTATATAATTTCATTTTTCTGACATTTCATGTTTTAAAGTAAACATGTTATGATGTAAATGAAAGTGATCATGGGATTACTAATTCCATGATATTGATTTATGTTGTACTATCTCTGCATATCCTGCTAGTACCAGGATCACAGGTTCAAAACATAACCAAAAGAACCCCATAAACATCAGATTTGGAACTCAGAAAATAAATCTGAGAACCTCCTAGTCACCAACAGAACATACGGTTACTATCTGAACAAGTCACTAACAGTACCTATAAGAATCAATCATCCCTCCCTACTCACGGGAAAAACTAGGCCAGGGTAAGGCAAGGGTAACTCAGAATCATGGGTACGCTTGAAGCCATTATCATCAAAACACCTACGTGAAATTATAACACCTCATTTGTAATCTCATCTGAGCATGCACGACATGACCGCACTAGCAAACCAAAGTCGAAAAGCCATTCATGTTCCACTATATTCCTAGGGTTCCTATGGTTGTCACTTCGCATGTGTATTGGGCCTTTTACCTCATAGTAACACCCACCCAACATGGAAAACCAGAAGCCATCACAGCAGATAATCAATATGGAAAATAGTAAAATACAATGCAAACATATGCTCAGATAGACATGTACAAAATGAATAAACTGAAAGCATAAAATAAACAACAAAATAAAATAAAACAGGAGCTAGGAGCGACTCTGGGATGGACCATAAATTGGTCGATCTCTCCCCAATGAAGTCGCTAGATGAAACAACCGACTGAAAATCATCAAACAATAAAGTCGTCGTCGAGCATCTTTTATCCCACGTGGAGGGAAAGGTAAACATCGAGAAAACCTGAGAAGGGAGAAGTCACAGTCTTGCAACCGAGAGATCGGGTAAGGGAGCCTATTACACGGGGGGAAGGTATTAACACCCCATACGCCCTTAGTACTCTACAATATCCACTCTTGTTATCTATCTTTTGGATGTGTTTAATCTATACTTACTGTTTATTTATTGAGAAAGAATGCATGCAAAAGAAATGAGAAAATAATGTAGGGAAAAATAAAAGTGTGCTCGCTTAGGCCCTACCCCAATGACTACGTATCCTTTTTGAGGAATCATAGTTACCATAGTTCAGCTCACATATTTTTGTTTGTTTTGTGTTTTTCATGAACAATGTTAATTTTGCCTTCTACCGCAGCTCGACCTTTGGAGATTCACGCGTTGGCACAAAAGTAAATTAACATGTCCTTACCTAAAAATGGTTTTGAGTTACGCCCTTAAGGAAAGATGCCACGTTTGATTGGTTTGTGTTTTGTTACCTTGAAAAAGGGTTAAAGTGTGATTAGTATGTTTTATGATTTTCTAAGAAAAGTTTTAGTCTTAGATGCATATGCAAAAGGGGAAGAAAAAAGTATATGGGAGACTAGCCTATTTCTAATCCTAATGTTATCATACAATGGTAGTCCTAAGGTTTAGATTAACAAAAGGGAAACGTCTACCTAATGTTAGCATGCATGGCTTACAACCTAAGGTCTAAGTTGTATCTGAAAGGAACAAGCACATCCTAAGGAAACATGGTATAGAAAGCGAGTAAGCAAACGAACTCAAAAAAGCACACACATAAACGGTAAAGAAAATAAGTGAAATGCTTTAGCCAAGGAGAGCGTATCACCTGAGATAAACAAGCGGGAGTGAGATATAAAAGAAGAGAAATGTTTTAGCTAAGGGGAGCGGATCACCAGAAGCAAACAAGCGGGAATACGATGTAAAACAACAAAAATATGATGTCAAAAGCGACTGAACACCTAACCAAGATATAGAAGATCGAGGTAGACGACAAAAGGCATTATGAATAATCAAGGAGTGTCAGCATCGGCCAATGCAAACTCCTAACAAAGTGTGGGGGTTTGATTGCAAAACCCTTTTCCATTTGACGACTCGATAATAAGAGTATGCACAACTCCGAAGCATCATGGTGCGTCACGAGCTAAGGATGACACGAACAAAATTGCGGGGGTTGGTTACTAACCCATTCCCGCTCGCCTCTTTTTAACGACTTATCATTTGTAACATATGTGAGCACAAATGTAAACACACCTGCAAAATACCTACACAAAGGTAGGGTTTTAAACAAACAATACACAAGTAGCACATAATGACAAATAATGTGGAATTTCCCTAAACAGGCCTTTAAATAAACCAAAGGGGTTCCTAACATAATCAGCAATGGAGACCCCCTCCATACATCTCTATTCCTACTTCTCATGGCATCAGAAAGCAGTAAATTTCCTACTTCTCATGATATCTAGGAAGCAGTAAAGAAATGCGATAAAGTGCGGAAAATGTAAAAACAATAGCGATGACTACCAAAAGCAAGCAGATCATCGAAAGTGGATAAAAGAAATGGGTAAGCCGAGAGTACGCGTCAAGAAAGCTTCACCAAGAAACAAGCAAAGTCAGAAACAATATCCAACTAAGATAAAAGAAAAATGTGTGTTGCGAATGTAACGCGTAATCAGAAGTTCTTGCACAAAGCATCATAAAATATCACATGTATTGGGACAATATATAATATAATATGAATTTCTCATGACAATGAGAAATAAGGCATGTCGAATCAGAAGCGAGCATAAGCCATATGCTTCGATCACATAATAACTTGTTATGTTACATGATCGAAAGCACCAAAAATGTATCTTGCACAATAAACAAACGCGTCAAAAACAACGAGGCACAATGGTATGAAAATATGAATAAAAACTAAAAGAAAAAATATTTTTATTAGTTTTTTATGTGAAGAAAAATTCTATCAAAAACTAAAGAATTAACTCCTAAAATCCACTAAGAAGAACTAACAAATTTTATTGATTTTATACTTTTTTATCATAACAAAAATATAAAAAAAATTAAGAGAAAAGCCCTAAATTCTACATAAGAAGAATATGAAGATCAGTGGGTGCAAGCTGGAATCCAGCGGCTATGGTGCATTAACCAATCCAGGGCGCTAATGCCAAACTTGCAAGCCCGGGGAGCCCTTTTTTGTGCACAAACATTAAAAAAACTACCAAACAATTGATGATGTGCCTGGATATATATTCAGCCCAAGACCCCATGGTCCAATGATAAAAACCATGTCATTTTTCAGCATATATTTATTATCAATTATTATATAACAAAACAAAATAATAAATAAATAAAAACTGGCATGAAAACATGAGGAAAACGGTGGCGTTTGATGAGGCTTAGGGTTCAAAATACTGAGACTCTCCATCTTCGCGATAAACACAAAACGAACTTTTCCTCTCTTTTCTTTCAAAGAATGGAGGCATTATCTTCCTCTGCCCTTTCCGATCTAAAACATTGTTGCTACAGCCATCGTCTTCATTGCAACGCATCGCCTCCATTTATGTCGTCCTCATCTTCATCTACCTCACGACCTCGTCCTAATCCGCTCCGTCGTGCTTTGGGTTTCGCTCATCCTGTCCTCAAGCCTCCGTCTCTGTTCGAATCAATGTTAGAACAGTACAAAGGCTTCAATCGAAGCTCCGACCGAAACTACAACTTAGGGATTCACGATTTAGCAACGACGACGAGAATTCAAGGAAGAAACAAAATCGAAGCAAATTCAAGCTAGCAAAAGCTGGTAAAAGATAGTATCAATCAAAAGTAGAGAGCCTACTGATCGGAGACCGTCCAATGCGTTTTTGACGGTGACGAACAGGAAAGAAAACCAGAGATGCCTAATTGTATTTGAGGTACAAAATATTTAATTCTTTCATTTTCTTGTGATGCTTCCTTCTTCTTCTACTTTTGAGTGATTTCTGAGTTGTGTGTCCTTGTGCGTGAGGGCGATGTGAAGGTAATGGTATTGCTAATGGTGAACGCAGAGAGATGATGATGAAGATGGAGACGCAATGATGTGAAGAATCGACTTAGGGAGAGTGAGGATTGGTGATGAAGGTGTTGTGATGAGAAGAAGATTATGAAGGTGTAAGGTGAGGAAGAGAAGGAAGGTTGATTGTGATTTGCAGAGAGAGAGAGAAATGATGGAAGTTGCAGAGATAGAGAGATTGGTTGCAGAGAAAATCTAGATGAAGCTTGTGCAGAGAGATTGAAGAATCTCAAGAGAAGTTTGTTACAGATTTTTTAGTGAGTTTTTTTGGTGAATGAATTGTATATATTTTTTCTGTTATATCAGTTGTATAGCAGTTAAAAGCTTGAGAAGTTAGTTGCAGCTGAGTGAATCTGAGGCTCAGATTAAAGGAGGAGGTTAGAGATTTGGAGGGTTAAGATGAATTCGGTTAGAGTAGTTATGGAAGTTGAAATTAGTTAGAAGTTATAACTCTGTTAATAGTATTGTTACTTGTGTTCTATTATGGAGTTGGCTAGTGGCTTTTTGAAAGTTAGGTGGAAGTTTTGTTTGAGCAGTTACGAGCTGTTAAAAGCCTGCTATGAAGTTAGTTTATTTTCCTGTTTTTTATAGGTAGTTTGGTTGTAAAATGGCTTATGTAAGGACTGTTTCCGTTTGGATCTGCTTTGATTAAATGCACGAATGGTTTTGGATTTGTTGAACTAATGCAGGTTATGAACAATTAAAGAATGACAACGGGCTTAAAGAATTAAGTTGGAGAAGAAGCATAGTGTAAAGTTAAATGAAAGACTTAACTCATGGTGTGAAAAGTGGGAAAAGGACTGGTCATGGAATAAAGAGAGATTGGTTTTATCTTTTTCATGTAGTTCTCTTGATTTAAATCCATGTAATTTCCTTTTGTAACCTTCTTTGACTTTACATCTATGTATGAATCGTTATGCCTTATTTTTGAATGAACCATTGGATGCGTCTTGACAATTGAAAGCATCCCCGTCTTTGGTATCCCCAAGTGATTGAATATTCTTAAATCTCTATAGTCTTTGACCTATAACGCCTTAGTCTCCCATGAAAAAACCTTGACTTATACGCTTTGCAAAACATGATATATGCCTTATGATTTAAAACTTGTCTTCTAAGCAATCCAAGTGACTCTCCAATACTTGAATCAATTCTTGACAAACCAAATGCTTAATTACTTTGAACCAATCTATTTTCAATTCGGTGAAAACCATAGCCCCATCTTAAATCTACATCAAGCAACAAGTTCTTGAAAGAAAAATCAGCTTTAAGCATACTGAATCTCTTGCCCCCAAATCTTGTGCCATGACATGTCCTCTTATGAGAAAAACCGTAACATTATCTTGAAGAAGTACTTGGTAAATGAATATGAAGCATAAAAGCATGTCCAAAAGAACCCTAGTTCACCAGATTCACTATTGAAATACTTTGAAGAAAGCTTGATAATGGCATTAGAGCTTGAGGAGAAAGAAGTCCTCACTAACCACGAGTCAAAGATCTATCTCCATAGTCCAATACTCAAAGAAAGAACCAGATGAAATTAATCTTATTTGATATATATACACCTCAAACCAATTGTGAAACCTTAATTCTTCAAGATCTTTGATCCCATGCCAAATTATTGATTAATGATGCATGTTGTGTAAAGCGACCTAATGGGGGCTATATACAATGGTGAAAATGAGATGCATAAGCCATATGATTTGATGAAAGGGTAGGACAAATTTGAGGTATTACAACACTGTGTAGAAACACCCTATCACCCCTAAACAAGCAGACAAGTAGAGTTTTCCAACAGAGAGATTAAGCAAGTCTTAGAAAAAACAGTTGCCATTTCTAGAAAGGATTGGTCGTCCAAACTACATGAGGCATTGTGGGCATATAGAACAGTCTATAAGAGACCCATAGGAACCACACCGTTCAAACTAGTTGATGGAAAATCATGTCATCTGCGGGTAGAACTTGACATAAAGCTTATTGGGCTATTAATACCCTCAATTTCAGCTACACTATCGCGGGCGAAAAACAAATCTTATATATCCATGAGTTGGAATAGATTAGAATAGACGCATAGGATAATTCCATGATCTATAAAGAAAGAACTAAAAAATGGCACGACAAGCACATATTTAGGAAAGACTTCAATGAAGGGGACATAGTGGTCCTATCTAATTCTAGAATTAAACTATTTTCGGATAAATTGTGTTCTAGGTGGTCCGGTCCCTTTGAAATAACTAAGGTTTTTCCAAGTGGAGCTATTGAAATTAAAGGAGAATCTAGTGAACCGTTCATCGTAAACGAGCAGCGCTTGAAGCATTATCACTGTATCGAAAATAGAGATTATTCTGCTAGTCTCCATCTTGCAGAGCTACCCGCTCACCACTAGATTTAAACACTTATTAAAATTATGTCAATCTTATGACATAAAACAAAGCGCTTTGTGGGAGACACCCCACTTTTTGGTGTTTTGTATTGATTTATTTTAGTCTTTACATTTTCTTACTTTTCATTTATTTTCTTTTCATAATAAGTATGTAGTATTGTTTTCTTAAGTTAACCACTATTAACTTAATTCTAACTGTAAACTTACTTACAAGATAACTTAATTTTAGCTAACCAAACTAACTAACGATGCAAGAAGTTGACACAATGGGAATTGCTTTCAGAGGAATAGCCCAGATGAGGTGTTTTAAGGCACTAGCTTCAAGAGAGATGGCACTAATTTCTACCCCAATGGCCCTACCATGACCATATTAGGTATTAGGGACAATGTTATGTTTTTGCTAAACCAAATAGGTTGGGATACTTCTCCTTTGAGAAGGAGATTTAGTTCTTATCGTAAGTTGGCCTTAGATTCATGAGCTCACTCGACTTTTTTCCTAACCATGGATTAGGATTTAATTGAGGCCTCACTATTTTTAGAATGTTCGATATTGAATACCGGTATAATAACCGTGAGCTTGATAATCTGTTAGGATTCCCTAGTGGCCCACATGTCTTTACTAGTACCCAAAAGGACCGTCTTATGGACCTTGAACTTGAACATTTTTGGGGTAGCATAACCGGCAATAGCAATCCTGAGCCTGATAACATGTTTTCAGAGAGCATCCATAACCCTGTTATTCAGTATTTTCATAAGATCCTAGCCTATAGCCTGTTTGGAAAGCGGGTAATTATAACATCAGTGTCAAGAGATGAGCTTTTCATATTATATTGTGCTTCCCAAAACCGTCTCGTTTATGTTGTCACCTTCATGATAGCTAACTATGTCCGTGTTACACAGACTGAACTTGTACCTATCTTAGTAGAAGGCTTAATGACCATGATAGCCAATGCCATTGGAATGTGACAACCATTTCTCCGACTCCACCCTCTGGGTGGATTCCAACCCATGAATATACCATTCTATTTCAACACTAGCATTATTAGAAACCTTGGACCTAAAGTGTTTGAACTTCTCATTAACAACCAGGTCATGCAACTTTTCACCTTGCCAAATCCCAGAACTAGTGTTCATGACCGAAACAACTGACTATTTGATTTGGAAGTACACCAAATTTCATCTCCAATTTCTCCTGAGACACCACAGATCTATGACCACAATGATGCTTTTCTCTATGACCTTGAAACAGATCCTAAAACACTTCGATACTATCATAATTTTCCATCCACCGACCAACCCTCCCCTTCACGTGCCTCTGTTGCTCCAATTGCCTCTGCACCTCTCTCTGTTGATCAAGCTACTGCCATACTTGCTTTACAAACTGAACTAAATTTTTTGAGAGAAGAATTCACTAAATTGCGCATTTAGTTTCATGTTTTTATGGATTTAGTGACGGAGCAGGTGGATAACATTTTTCAACATATCTACTCCTCTGTTCAGAATACTAATAGTAGTGGCTGATATTTTCCTAACATAGTGCATTTTATTCTATTTTCCCAATCCTCGCATTAAAACAACGAGAACACTGTTTAAGTTAGTGTGGGGGGAGGATTATTAATTTAGGGTTTCTCATGTTTTCTAGAATAGATTTCTTGTTTTCCGTTTTCCTTTCTAGATTTGATTTTTACGCTTTCAGTACTTTCTGCTTCTTTCTCCAGAATATTGATATTGTTTGGAATACAAGTTTTTATTCAGTTAAAGTTTATGGCACTGTTTCAGATATTTATATACCTATATATATGCTATGCTTTAATGTTACACAATTTATCATATACATACTGACTTAAATATCGTGCCTGAACACTCTGTATTCTGGAAAACAGAAACTAGAAATATCAATTTTTATGTATTTTTGCATTTTGTCGCTCGCCACATATACTCTGATGATCGCCATACCTTTACAAAGTGTTCCTCCTGACACACACTTTGTGCCCCTCAGCACATAGTAAAACCTATGCGCATATATGTTTATTACAGATACCCCTTTCGTTTCTTTCTTTCATCTTTCTCCACTTTCACTAAAACCTCATTAAAATCCACCCCTCCTATTCATCACCCCTGACCGTCCCACTTACTCCATATTCAAAATTTTCTTTAAATCCCATTATCACCCGCTCCCTGTAATTTATATTTTTCTCCTATTTAAAAACTTGTGAAACAAAAACCAAAACCCATAACCTCTCCTTATGTTAGTTTTGAAACCGAACACACCCACCTTCCTTGTGTCTCATTATGTCTCGAAGAATATAACACCAAAGAGGAGAACCTGACCTTTCAGGAATTGTGTTCAGAAACAACAAAG